GGCCTTAAAGGAATGTCAGCTGAAAGAACAACTTCTCTCTCTAAGCTAGGTGCTTTGGGTACAGCAGAAAAGTATCTGTGAGAAAATCTAATTTCATATTTTGGTTCTCAGTGGTGTCAGTGAGGGATGATTTTTTTTTTTTTAACTTTTCTTAATTATGATAGCATTCGACTTGACAATGTATGTGCCTTAAATGCATACACTGATAATTCTGGTTTCTGGTTTCGCCTACTTTCCTTCTCCACTCTATTGATTGCTGGGACTCCTCAGTGTTCTGTCAAATGACTATTCATGCATATGGTTAAATTTCAGAAAAGTAAAGCAGAAATTGTACTTTATGTTTTTGTTATTGCAATTCACTTTAATTTTTAGGTCTGTTCAGTTTGGCAAGGTTTTTTTTCCTACTGTTTTGAACTTAAAAGCAATTAAATGCATTTTCTTTCTTTCAAAGATTATTAGAGCTCTGCTTTACAATATTTATTCCTTGTCTATGGTTTGATTCAGTCATCCATTAAATCCATTTAAATGAAAAAATTATATTCATGAAATCAAAATATGATTAATCAAGATTAAAATTGCATAGAAGATTAAGAATGTTTTTAGAGATTAAAATTTTTTAATTGAGTTCATTGCTGGGTCTGTAATTAATTAATCCCATTTTATTCAAAAACTATACATCGATAGTTCAAAAAACATTTTTGCTGCTCATAGAAGAAATATAGCTCAACAACAAAGATATTTATTGCTTGGGGCTGTTCTTCAGGTTCTTCAACCATCAGATTGGATCAATATGTTATTCTATCCATTCATCTTTCCAAAGTTTCAGGAAATTCTAATCATTCATGGAACATCTTTAGAAATGTGGTCTGTAAGTTTACACTGACATTAGCGTTAGCTGCTACACGTTTAGCTTTCAAATGCTATTTTAGGTTTGAATAGCTTCACTGATAGGCTAATTCCTTTTAGCACACGTAGAACACAAGAGTCTTTTCCAGTGTCCATTCAAATCATTCATGTAGCAAAAATGAACCCCCAGTGGGCCGAGAGAAGTAATCCATCATGCGTCAGTTTTAGGGGTGTCCCAGACGTTTTGTTTTATTTCAATACTTACATTCCGCAGTAACTAGGCGTGAAAACAAGTGACACAAATGTTGTTGTTTGGTCCTTAATTGACAGATGTTTGTTTCTGTTTTTTTGTGCGTGTTTGTGCCACTGTCAATGTAAGGACGCCCTGGGCTTGAATCCATATCAAAACCTGCCTTTTGAAAGCAGGAACTTTAACAATCCAGGCAGCCCTGTTAAAGTAAAGGAGAAGGTCACACTGGGCTATTATTTAAGGTTTCTGTGACATGAAAGGCAGCAAGAAGCTCATAGATGAATCGCTGGTTGTTCTGAACTTTGAAGACATGCATTTATCTAAAGCCTGTTGGTGTTTGATATACAATAAAAGGCTGGAATCTAGATGCGATATGCAGTATCAGTAAATAACCCTGGTGGGACCCCAACGCCATCCTAATCATGTTGATTAAACACGGCCAGCACCAGACAGCTCTCGTTTCATTTCACCGCAGAACACGACTTTTATTTCTCCCCGTCCGCCTTTCATTTCACACACCCACTAAATTAGCCTGGTGAGCAAGCTGTGCTAATGGTCTCTCATGTCCACATCAGAGACGCTTAAGCCTCCAAGACAAAAAAAAAAAAAAAGCTCCAATTATCCCATCACACACATCACTTGTACTATACTCATCCCCATGCAGCATCACAGACAGCGCTGCTCTGATTTATTTAGCGTTATCTTTAGGTGTATTTTGATGCAATTAAATCACCTTCATCCTCCTTGCTACGGTGTGAGCATCAGACGCAGCCATTCTTCAGCCCGCAAAGCCCATTTCATCTACGTTAAGGAGGTCCTTGATCATTCTTAATTAACATCCAAACTGGATGAGGAAATGCATTAATGGTGGGCTTGTTGTCAGACTGCTAATTAACACCCAGGAGGATTCCATTATCCCTAATAAATAAACGAAGAAACCAACAATCCTGTGACCCTGAGAGGCTTCTCAATCTGAGTCCTGGATAAAAACAGATCGTACTCCAACAGAACCAGACGGAATTTAATGTTCTCCAGTCGGACAGGTCAGTGGGTCAAAGCAGAGCTTAAAGGGACCAAATGAGCTTTTGTCTTTTTAGAAATAGAGCAGCAGCGTCTCCTTCTGTCCTATTTAGCTCTTCCTGCCTTTACAAACCTGTAGACATAAGTGAAAAAAAGACGAGTCACTAATTAAACAGATAAGCTGATGGGTGCACTGCACAAGTTTAGGAATGAAGGATGGAACTAATATGTAGTTACTACAGAACTGTAACTGAATGTTGTGCTAACTGGTCTGCATGGCGACCAGTTAGCAGATTGTAGGAGAAATGAAATAGAAAGAATGTTGGTTCTATTTTTTCCAAACTGGTAGCGTTCACAGTTAAAGGGAAAGATGACACAATGGTTATTTTTAGTTGCGATTTTATTTATTATTGTTCAAATTTATTTTTCCACAATGAGTAACCCTTACTGCGCTTGAAAAAATATTGCTCCATCAAATGCTGACATGTCAGTCAGCGTTTAAAGTAACGGCTTTACGGCTGAAAGAAGTCATGCATTTATCTTTAACTACAATTTTACAATTAATTTTTTCAACAAACATTTTTTCTGAACTGTTTTCTTGAATACAGAAATACCTTGTGAAAAAAGAAAATCTTTCCAAAAATATCAGAATTTTATTTCTCACTTTTTGAAAATAATTTTCATTTTTATAATTAGTGTTTAAAAAAATAAAAGATATAAAATAAGAAATGTCAACATATTTATTTTAGAAACTAAAAGACAAATTAATAGATTTATCTCAATGTGTACGAAATTCTGAACAGCGTCCAGCCACCGCTACGTATTTTCACTATGTCAGAATATTTGTGAAATTTATGGTTCTGTTAGATTAGGAGGAAATAACTGCAGTGATAATAGTTTACATCCTAAAAAATATCTAAATATAATATGTATATGCAAGACATGAACTCTAAAAAAGTTTCCATAAAGAACAGTAAAATAACAGTAATACTTAGCTTTGAAGTATAAATTGCTAAATTAATAATTGACTAAAATATCTGTGGAAAAATAATTTAAATCTCTAAAACAGTTAGATAAGGCGTAATGTTGAAAAGCAATCCTCCTCTGCTAGGAGAGAATGGCCTCTCTCACACTAACAATCTACGCAGGAAATAAAAATGAAAATGTGACAAAATGGAATCATCTGAAAAAAAAAAATAGAAAACTAAAATCTCTGAAAACATTTAATTTGGGAGTAAAGGTCATTCTTTCCATTCAAACATCGTGTTCCTCACTAATCACTGAATTACTGCGGGTAACACACACACACACACACACACACACACACACACACAAAACACTGCAACCAGACTTCAAAATATATGAATACATCTAACACTTCAAAATGTTTGTATTTGATTCAACATGAAATTTAGCAAACCATGTAAAAAATAAATAAATAAATAAATAAATAAATAAATAAATAAATAAATAAATAAATAACATTAAAAACAAAAAGCATGCATTAAATCATTTCCAAAGTCCAGACAGGAGACTCCAACCTGAACCAAGAGCTCAAACGGCTGGAAGATGGAGAGGAAGAAAAACCGCGGAGCAGTCTGCGTGGAGATCAGATTATTTTAAAACGTCCAAAAAATTTATTTTCTGCTGAGGTATTTATATAACATATACATTTTCTTTCCTATTTTTCTGCCCACAATTATTTTTTGGGATTTTCTGGTTAGCATGGCTTTTCTTATTATTATTGGTGGGGTTTTTTTTATGATTTAATTTTATTGTTAAAATAAAGTCAAATCTAAACCAAAGACAGCGTCACCAGATGACACCGTCGCACCTATTTCCAAGGGGCTCCCTGCTCACCCTCTGAGTCTGACCTTTCACCGCTGCGGGTTAAAGGTCGCAGCAGGAACTTTTGCACTTCCCCAGCGCAGATAAGCAGCCCCTCCGCAGGAGAGCGCCCTGGGTGGAGGCTGGTGGAGGAATGGCGGCCAGAGGCCAGTCGTCATCTGATGGAGATAAATCCCAAACCAGAAGCAGCAGCTGTCAGCCCAGAGTAAACACTGCAAAGTGGTTCTGAAGCGCAATGATATCGTCAGCATGACGCTGGGATTCATATCACATATTGTTGTGTTTCCTCCTAAAATAACTGCATCGCTTCTACGTTTTTTAATTTATTCAAAATGTAGCTGAATAGAAATGTTTCAGAAGCGTTTTAATAGAAAAATCCCGTTTCCCCCTAAAATGTCACTGGCCTTGACGCATCCAAGCAACAAGCAGCCGCCCATCGATCATCCTTGTCCAATTCCTGTTCCGATAACAGGCCACTAATCTTGTTGAGGAGTCCGCGGCGTCATTTATCTAAATCAGTGTCAGGGGGCGCAGGTCGCGGCTCGCCCCCCCTCCTGCCATGCGCGCAGGCCCGGCCTCTGGACGTGTTTACTCTCTGCATTCCTGCAGCCAGCATGGAGCTCTCACAGATCAGCTCATCCGAGACCAGACATCTATCAGCGGCTGGGAGGAAGCTGCTTCCGCTGCCGGGGATTTATGGAGGCTTGAAAAATGACTTCCTCTCTGCAACATGCTAAACTTTCCCCCGACAAGTAAGTTAATGTTGCTCTTATGACTCTTAGTGAGTTTGGTTATAAACTGAGGTTTTGTCTTTTTTTTTCTTTTTTTTAGGGGGTTGGAAATGAGCTAAAGAGCAACTTGATTTTTAAGCATTCCCCGGTTCTCCCATCAGCAGGCCCTGAACAGCAACATGTTGGTCATCTGGATGACTCAGTCAGGGTTCACTGGACTACCACCATTAAGAGCTCACCCTCACTTTAAGTCACAGAAGCAACAACAGCAGCAACAGGAAGACAGGATGAGAAGTTGGACCTACAGTGTGCGCTCCGCCGGTGCTGCCACTCTCTGTGCGCCAGTCCGCTGATGCAGGCTTTCAGAGCTTTCTCTTGCAGCATGCAGGACGACGGGCTGGACGTGTAGAAGTCCAGCATCTGCCCGGGACTCACGGCCAGCATGTCCATGCAGTCAAACATGACCACTTTGTTCACTCACTCGTGTGCGTTCTGCAGGAAAATCGCCGGCATAGGCGCACACAACTCCATCAAACTCCTCTTCTTCACCCCTCCTCCTCCTCTTTTTTTCTCCCCCTCTCTTCTTCTTCTTCTTCTTCTCGGCGCAGCGGATTTCTCTCCTCTTCTTCTCCTCCGTCCCGCACCGGAATCATGAATTACGTTGGTCCCGCAGCTTGTCCTAGATGCCCCTGCTCGGGTCTCTGGCACCGGGAGCAGTCAGCGCGCTGCAGCGGACCTCCGGCCGGGGTTCCTCCATAGCCAGCGCCGCTCCGCCGTGTTCGCAGCGGATCGCCCCGTCCCGCCTCTCGGCTGAAGCGCTCGCGCTGCCGGCTGCTCGGAGCGGAGCTTCTTTATTATTCTAAGAGCAGAAAATAATCACGGACGGTGTTTAAAAAGCAGCCGTTCCCCTCCGCGATGACGAATGGGTTATCCGTCCCACCAGTGCTGCTCATTTCCAACTAGTTTTGCCACCGAGAATGAAAGATTGAATTGCCTAATGTATGCGAGTGAACTTTGGGTGAACCCTTCCGAGGCTGCTGACCTTCAAATGACCCAGGCAGGCTGACATCACTGCAGCTCTGCAGCGCAGAGAAAGGCGGCGAGAAGAAGCGCATGGGGGAAGAAGAAAGATTTTTTGTTGTTGTTTTGGAAAACAGAGCGACTTCCAAAATATGAAACCATGTTTTTGGAATTCATACCAAACCACCATAACGACTCTGTGCGGTTTTTTTCTTTCTGTTTCCTGTTTGTCTGCTTTACGCAGAAAAGAGTTCCTAAACATTTAATGCTTAACAAAAAGAAACATTTAATATACAGGAAACTGTAAATAAATAATCGCCAAATTATATGTTCTTGGAAAATAATTTGATGTCAGATTTATAATAATTTTCTGATAAAGTAAATTTACAGGAAACAGCTTATTCACTTACATTCTTACATTTGGTCATTTGATAAATAAGCAAATAAACTAATTAGTTGATTAATCAAGTAACTATTATTGGTGACAGTTATAATTTGCCATTTGTTTTCTGTACAGCAAAGAAATATGCAAGTGCATCAGTCAATAAATGAAAGGTTGCAACTGGCTCGTTTTTGTTCATCTGGCTGGTAATTAGAAAGTCAATTATTATTATTATTATTATTATTATTATTATTATTATTATTATTATTATTTATTTTTTTGCCTTGAGTCCCTGAATTCTGTAAAACTGAGGATTATCATCATGTTCTGTCTGGAAGTTGAGCCACCAGCAACATGCACTGTGATCCACCATGTTCTGATTTTACACAAGTATTTGCACCCTGTGAACTTTGACCCATGCTGTGTAACAACTGAAGATTTCAACGTATTTTATAGATTTTATGGTAAACCAAGATAAATTAAATAGATCTGCAAAGTGGAACAAAAATGAGATATTGCATTAATGTTTTTCAAAGGAAAAATCTGAAAAGTGTGGCAAGCATGCATGCCCTTCTGGCCCAAGTGGCTGTGTGTGAGGACAGAGACAGTGAACACAAACACTGTTTATACATATGACATGTTTATGCACAGGGTTTTCTTCTCCCATTGAAATGCATTTGGATCATGTGTTCATAAGCGTTGACTCAAACTCCAGTGGAAAGGCTGGACTGTTAGGAGCAGTTTTTATCTCATGAAGCCTTTGGGATTTGTCCCACTGAGTTTGGTTTCTCAAGATTCTGGCCAATCAGTGAACAGAAGGAGTCTGTTGGCGATGGCATTGATTTTCCGCTCTGTTTTATAATTTTAGTCTGCCTGTTACTGCAATGGCAGCGGAGGATGCAAAGGAAGCCATTCAATCGGTGTTGGTCGCACTTCCAAATATTGAGACATTAAAGTCAAAGTAAAAGAAATGTTTAAGTTATTTTATGATAACAAATACACCTCAGCACACGCACCACACCCTGGGAAATTTCAGGCCATAGTTTCCCTCACAATCAAACTGGTGCATTACATAAGTCACATCCACATGTTAGAGACTGGTTAAAATCAGATCCAGTTGTTTAAAACTTCAACAGAGTCCACTCCTCCAGAAGCCAATGGTTTGTCATTAAGCGGGTCCAGAAGCAAAGCGAGGAACAAGGAGCAGCTTTTTCAGGTCAGAACAGCAGCATTGTAGAAAAGTGATCTCAGAGGTTGAAGACCAGAGGTGTAACCTCAACTTCCCAATTCAAGATGTTCACATGTTCTTGGGTGAGAATGGAGCTCCATGTTGTCTCTGATTTCTTTATGTTTCTGCTTATAAATGTATGGACGGAAAAGGAATACAAATACTGAAGGGATCTTGTGAATAACTGCAGTAGTTTGTTCGATGCGCATAGAGTGTTTTTATAATATTTAAAACATTTTTCAGCGAATAAAGAACCGTTTCTGCCAATGGATGATCAAGAGCAATTCAGAAACATTACATCAAAGAAAACTTTAAGAGACAAAAGAGGAGGAAAAAAATCCTGAAGCCTTTAAAATATAACAATTTAACAATTTAACATCAAAAACAGAATAAAAATAACTTTTTTCACATTGATCATTGTGTAATATTAATGAGTGTTTGGAAATCTGAAAGGAGTTTGCAGTGTGCTGCTGCCTTCAGAGTCTGTGATGCATTATGCAGTATGTGGTATATGCAGTGCAGATATGTTTGGAGCTGCTGGTGAGAAGAATAATAATGCAGAGAGAAGGAGACAGTATTCCTCTGAATAGTTCCAGTTTTAACCTAAACTTACTCATCATCAAGTATCTTATGAAAAATGGGGGAAATGTTAACTAGACTATGGTCATCTGCATAGTGTTGGGATAAGATTCATCAGGGCTTTTAAATAATCCCATAACTTAATGTGTAAACACAAATATGATCAGTTTTATGTTGTTTCTCCTCCATACAGGAAGGACGAATAAAGGCTGAGAAATATGGAGACCTAAACTTTGGCAACAAGAAGGACCTTCCTTGTTAAATGCCAACAGGTTGGTCAGTGTGGGAACCTGAAGACAGGAGATAAAACATTCTGCCTTCCTGCTTCCTGTAGGGCAGGACTTTGATGAAGGAGATCAATCAGGCATTAAAACATAAGATGTTAAGAAAACCACACAAGGAAATAAATATGAACAAGCTGCACTTCCAAATGCACTCACATACAAACTTATTTTCCCGTTAATTTTTTATTGTTGCAATAATGTCAGAAATGTATAGTTTGAACTGTGAAGTTGGAACATGAAGTGTTCCATGCCCCGAACATAAAGGTTTGTGGTTGGACATAGTATGAGCCAAAGCTCATACTGTGTTGGATATTTTTATGAGTTCTTATCAGAAAGATAAAAATCAATCATAAGAAAATGTTTATAATAGAAGAAACAGGAAAAAAAAACTCTGCAATGTCTGATCTCATACAGATCTGGAAAGTATTCAGAGCTCTTCATTTTATCCACATTTTATGTTTCAGTATTTTCCTCCAGACTTCCTCCACTGACCAACAACGGAGGCCGTTCAGCTCACTGACCTCCAAGCAGCAGAAATGTTTCTGGATTCTTCTCTGGATTTCTGCCTCAAGACAATTCAGTGTATGAGGTCTACAGACAGTTGGTTTGATTTCATGCTTGGTGTTTGACCTTTGACCTGCACAGTAAACTGTGGGACCTTACATAGACAAATGTGATCCTTTCCAAATCAATCTAGTCAACTGAGTTTACCACAGGCGGCTCCATTTTACCTGCAGAAACATCTCAAGGATGATCAGAGGAAACAGTTCAGTTTTGAGCTTCATTGGTAAATGGTGTGAATACTTATATAAATGTACCACAAGAATACAGGTACTACATTGTCATATAATGTGGTACTTGTGTGTAGAATGTTTTGAGGACAGAGATTAATTTAATAAAATTTTGAATGAAGCTGTAAAATGTGGAAAAAGTGAAGAGCTATGAATAAATTCTGCATTCACTGCAGTTTTGGATCTGTTACATTTAGCTTTACATTGTAAATGTCTATTTTCAGTAGGTTAGATTAGTCCAACAATGTCTTCACTGATCTCTGTAAAAAAAACAAAAAAACAGGCAGCTTAACAGAATGTGAAATTCTGTTGCTGGTTTTAGAAGCATTAAATGGTTTTTCGGATGGAATAGATTTGTGAGCTGGGGGTGAGGTATAAACCATGAGGACCCGTCATCAGAGACCTACGGTGGCCGACAAGTGCAAATGCGCAGCAACAGAGAAAACATGCAAACAAAAAAAAGAGACGCAAGCAAATGAAATGCAGCAAACAGGATGAGATGACGCAAACAAAAAGCAAATGAAGTAAACAAAAAAAGAGTCTGCCAGCTCTTGGTCAGCTCCCGTTGTTATCCCTACCAGCTGGTTTCCTTTTGCTACGCTTGTGATTTCGTACTTTGAATTTCCACTGGATTTTAGTTTTTGATTTTCTTTTTTTTGAGTGAAATCATTTTGATCACCAGCCTGCTTCCTGCAACTGGCTCCTGCTCTTCAATGTTTAATGACATAAAAATGACAATGATAATAATTAGAGATGAAATTATATGAAAATTTGGGCTGATATCGATATCTGATATTAATGCTGCTGTTTCAACTGATAATCGATGTTTATCAAATTTGTATGTATTTAGATAAGGTGTAAAAGTTGCCACACTGCCAATTGCCTATTGCTGCTCTGCTTCAGTTAAACATCCCACAATCCTGCTGCTTCACTACCACCGTAACCTGACTGAACATAAACCACATGGCCAACACACATACACCCCCAGGCAGGTGAGGCAGAGCTTTTGACCGCATTTAAATCTCATGGGGAAGGATTTTGTCTATAATAATGTCACAAAATGTTGTGATCTTATTTGTCTAAAAACAACGTATAGTCAGGTTTTCAGGGCAGAACTGATTTATTGTGGTGACAAAAGTAGCAATGAATAAATGTATGTATATAAAGATTTTCTGCACATTCTTGGCTCCATTAAAAACAGGAACTTTTCATAAGAAATTACTCTTCTAATGGAACCAGTTTGGCATTACACTGTAAGGACAAAATGAGGACTAACAAGAGAATTACAATTAGCAGCTAACATAATCTCTCATTAATGAGTTTATGGGAAATGGCTCCTCTCATGGCTTTGATATCTCTGCTTTGTTATAATGATTCCTAAATGGACTCAGAGTTAGGTTTGTGTACAGAAATTGCGTTTCTTGAGACTTAGGCTGCCAAAGCAATCTGTCCATGATGCATATTGTCTCAGCGTTAATTTAGTAGGACAGAAATGTTTCAGAATCTGAAATGTAATTGGACAGCTGACCTTCATGGTATCTTCAACACGTAAGCCGTCACACTTAATTGGAAGTCATTTCGAACCGTGCAACCTGGATTTGAAATAATTTGCTATGGGCAAGCCGGATACAGTCAATGAACGTTTCAATGCAAACCAACCATTACTTCACTATCTTAAACCTCATTATTCAGGAAGATAAAAAGAACAGTGAGGATAGTGTGTTCATGACTGTTCATGCGTTCGTAACGCAGGTAAGACAAAAAGTTCTGACCAGAGTTTATGACTGATAAATAACATGTTGACCACTCCTTTACCTGAGCTGAGGCTATCTGCAGCTCCTCTAGAGTTTTCATTGAACACAAATGTCTGGAACAAATTTATTACTGTATTTCAAAAAACATTTTCAATTGTTACCACCACTTCATGTAAATGAGGGAAGGAAACCTTTAGGTGCTTAGTTTAGGTACTGAGTAAAACAGCCAAACTCGAGCTTCTTTATGTATATTTAAGTTCATCTTGTGAACATCAAAAATGACCAAATTACAGCCATCACAGTAGTGACTGATCAATAAGCAGAGAATCAATGGTCTAAGAGGTTAATGATGTCTAAGTCAGCAACTTAATGTAAAAATGCTTTCTTACCCTGTAAAAACACGACTCAAATTTATGAGAAAATATCAGCAGCTGTGGATGCCAGAATTTTACCATATAAATACATATTTTACTAGTGGTCTGTTGAAGGTCAGAAATCAGAAACTTCCACCCAATATACAGGAAATGTTTGGTGACAGAGAGGGTGGTTATAATTTAAGAGGTGAAGGATATT